TACTTGGGAGACCACATGGTGTGCCAAGGATCAAACCCAGGTCAGCCATGAGACAGGCCAGTGCCCTACCTGCTGTATTATCTCTTCAGTTTTAATGTTATTTATTTTTTAATTCATTAATTTTTGTTCGTTTCATGGCTACACCTGGTGGTATTCAGGGCTTACTCCTGCTCTGTGCTCAAAGCTTAACTCTGGCAGTGCTCAAGGTACCTTATATGTTGCCAGGGTTAGAATCTGGGTCATGATGTGCAAGGCAAGTGCCTTACCCCTTATCTCTGAATCTAGATTTATTTTTTAGGGGCCTTCTCAGAAGTGCTTGGCCCCCATCAGAACTACATGGGAGAGGCATGTGGGGCCAAGGATCTTCCAAGCCTTCTGCGTGGAACTTTTAAATGGAAATAGTCTTCTCTACAGTATTGAGTATTAGTTTCTGATGAATTTTTCATATTTCTGTAGGCAGGCAATGACAGTTATTTTGAAGGATTTTTGGCTGTTTTTAGAGGAGGCCTCTTTCCAGGGAGGATTCATCTAGGCTTTTCATACTCTACATCCTTTTTATTTCTGCTATATTTCTTCTTGATTTTATACCTATTTTTTAGCTCAAAGTCAACACCCCCATCACAACCTCCTAGAAGTCAGCCCCTGAGTTATGAAATCTGCAACTCCAGCTTGTCTTTTTTGTTTGTTTGTTTTGGGGCATTCTTTCCACAGTTTAGCCAGTGCTACCCATTTCTGTTATCTCTAACTGTTCTCTACAACTCTTTCAAAAAGTTTCCTTCCTCCCTCCCTTCCTTCCTCATTCCCTCCCTCCCCCCACATCTGTTTCTTCCTTCCTTCCTTCCTTCCTTCCTTCCTTCCTTCCTTCCTTCCTTCCTTCCTTCCTTCCTACCTTCTTTGTTCTTGGACCAATACCCAGTGGTGCTCAGGGCTTACTTCTGACTCCGGGATCATTCCTGGCAGGCTCAGGGGACCATATAAGATGCCGAGGAATTCATGCTGAGTCAGCTGCATGCACAGCAAGCGCCCTACCCTCTGTACTATCTCTCTGGCCCCTTTCTATGCCACAGGAAGGATTCTCCTCTCAGCCTTTGCCTCTTCACCTTAAACACAGGCACATCTATAGTAAGCAATAAGAAGAGCTATCTTCTCTGGTACTATTGTGAACTAAGCTTGGAGAGACCTCTATAAAACACCTAAAAGTGCTACATAATGTTTAACAAACATTTTGGGGGGGGTTATTTCTAATTTTATTATGTTGGGGCAGAGGCACAGAGGGGTGACTCCTGACTCAGAAATCGCTCTCCACGTGCCTGAAGGACCCTGCAGTGTGGGAGGCTGCGCCAGGGCTCCCAATGCAAAGCATGTGCTCCAGCCTTTGAGCTACCCTGGAACTCCACAAACGTTCTAACATTCCTCTCTGCTTTAATTTAAATTCATATGAATTGGTGCTCAGGAATCACTTTTTTTTTTTTTGGCTTTTTGGGTCACACCCAGCAATGCTCAGGGGTTACTCCTGACTCTGAGCTCAGGAATTACCCCTGGCAGTGCTTGGGTGACCATATGGGATGCTGGGGATTGAACCTGGGTCGGCAACATGCAAGGCAAATGCCCTACCGCTCCAGGCCCCTCAGGAATCGCTCTTAAAGGAGCTTCAGGAACCATATGCAGCACTAGGGGTCCAACAAGTGTCAGTTACAGACCAGGTGAGCACTGTAACCCCAGAACTATCTCTGTAGCCCTGCAATTCTTTTGTTCTTGTTGGGATTTTAGAGGAAGAGTTCAGCCATCAACCAGCAGATGTAAGTAACTGTTTCTAGGCTGCAGAGTCCTGTCACCACCCCCATTCGCCCCGCGCCCCCAAAGCCCACACCCCTTTCTGCTGCTGGAGCCAGTCTATTTCCTCGCCCTCGCACCCAGCTGCCCTGTATTCTGGCATGGGCTGGCCTGCTCCGCTACTCTGGAGCCATCTGGAGTTTCTGTCAGAATCCACATGGCAGGGCCCCACCCCGCCCCCCTCACTAGCAGGACTGGCAGCTGCCAACCACCTGCACTTCTGGTCCACCCTATGCAAATCAGGGGGGAATCCCCGGGGCACTTAGGTTCAGTAATTCTTTCTGAAGACTAATGGAGTTTAGGTAAGCAGTATCTTTTGAAGAACAGTTTTGTTACAAAGCTTGAGTTTTTGTTGTAATCAAGACCCACCAAACATAGTGACATAGGGGCCCCAGGCTTGGTCAGGGGCAAAAGCGCCTTCCTGGTAACTGTGAAGTCAGAATTCAGTCCTGGTGCTGCCCAGATGCCCCTACTGTAGTCCTGGCAGCTCTGTCGGGAACTCCTGGCACCACAACAGGGTCTGTGATCTCCAATCGACGCTGGCCAGGTGTATGAGAGCGTGTCAGTGAGTGTATGAGTGTCACAATGACTGCCCCACTTGGGCAGACACTGCAGCCAGAGTAACTGCAGGCATCTCACAAAGGGAATGAGACCCTGGCTCGCTGGGAACACTGCAGTCAGATGTGCGATCCCCACAACCAGATGTGCCATCCTCGCAGCCACATGTGTGATCCCTAGCAAATGCTTCAACCCAGTGCGCAAGCATCACAATCCGGGCTCGTGTGTGACCTCTGGCCATTGCGGGAATGAAAACGAAGAAAAGAGGCAGTCGGGGGAAAATGAGGAGACACAGCGGGTACAGTTTTGGGGGCGGGGTGTGTTCTGACGCCTTCTGGCCCTTTTCCACCCAGACTCGAGTGCATCAGCTTCTTAATAAAATGTTTTCACTAAGCAGGAAGCTGGACCCAGCTTTGTGTCTGGAGTTTTTATGAGGTTTCATTACATAGGCCTAAGTGATGAGTCATAGACTTCGTGATGGAAAGCTGTATCCAACCCCTTCCTGGAGGCTGGGCTGACGCATAGCCCTAACCCCTTAATCACAGTTTGTCTCTCTGGCGAGCAGTTTCTTCATCCTGATTCATGTTATCTTAGATTGCAGGCGAGGGTGTCATCCAAGCAGCTCATGAAGAACAAAGACATTTCCATAACTCAGTAAATACCAGCGATGTCGATTTTTCTCTCCTAGGAACTAAGGACAATGGCTACTCACATTCTGTGTTAAACAATGCCTTATAATTCATCGAATGTATAGGAATGGACAATGGCAACTTCTGAGGCTGGACCTTAATTTTTCATTTTGTCTTAGAACACTGCCCTAAGATGTTCATCTAGAGGCTGGGGAAATAGTACAGTGGATAGGGCAAACCCAGGTTTGATCACCAGATTCCCATTTGGTCCCCTGAGTACGGCCAGGAGTAATGCTGAGCACAGGGCCAGGAGTAAGCCCTGAGCATCACTAGGCATTCCTCCTCCTCCCCACACATCACCCCCAAAAGATATTTGTCTATGACAGGAAGAGTAACACAATGATTAAGGGCACCTGCCTCACAAATGTATGGTCATGAGTTCAAATCTCTGGTGTCCCACATGCACACAGCACCATCCTAGTAATTCTGCTGTCTGAGATCCCTCAGTACTGCTAGTGATTACCTACCAGGTATTTGTATAAGCACCACAAGAAAAGGGCTGCCACCGCTGGTGACCACTGAAACTAAAAATGATGCACAGGTGCATTACCAGGAATGCAGTCTCTAGCATGTGTATGTGTGCGCGCGCGCATGCGTGCATGTGTGTGTGTGTGTGTGTGTGTGTGTGTGTGTAAGAGAGAGCACCATAGCAAGCACAGCCACAGCTCCCTTGTGTGCTTCAACTGAGAGTGCAACTCCCTGCAAGCACGTGTGCAACACAGCAGAAATGCCATCTGCACTTGTATGTTCACAGCTCTATTCACAGTAACCAGAATCTGGAAACAACCTGAGTGCCCAAGAACAGACAACTGGTAAAAGAAACTATGGTATATTTACGCAGTAGAATACTATACAGTTGTTAGAAAAATGAAGTCATGAGATTTGCTTATAAATGGATGGACATGGAGAGTATCATGCTAAGTGTAATAAGTCAGAAGAAGAAGGACAGACATAGAATTTGTGGGCTATATAAAAAAAACATATTACGAGACAGTAAAAGGACACCCAAAGATAGCAGAAACAAGGGTCAGGACAAATGGTCCACTGTTGGAAACCTGTCTCAAGGGTTGGGGGAGAGAGCAGTTGGGATAGAGAAGGGACCATGATGACAATGAGGCTGGAGGGATTGCTCTAGATGAGAGATGTGTGCTGAAAGTGAGTAAAGGAACAAACATGATGGTATCCGTATTGCAAACCATAATGCCCGAAAGAAGAGGGAGAGAGAAGGAGAGAGAGAGAGAGAGAGAGAAAGAGAGAGAGAGAGAGAGAGAGAGAGAGAGAGAGAGAGAGAAGTGCCTGCCTCTTGGGTGGAGGGGGGTGGCAGGAGGGATGGGGGGATATTGATATGTACACTGGTGAAGAGGATGGGTGTTGGAACATTGTATGACTGAAATTCAATCTTGAAAGCTTTGTAACTGTATCTGACGATTCAATTAAAATATTTTTAAAAGTTCAGCTTAATAGATATAAAATGGAGACTAAGAAATAATATCCACTTTAGAGGGATTTTGAAAGAAATAAATGAGAGCATGCATGTAAAAAAAAAAGCACATGTGCTAACAGTGAAACTAAAGAAGTACAAACCTCAGTGAGCACCAGCACCGTGGCCAGGTGTGCTATGTACAGCCTGCTGTGTAAGACTCAGAGAGCACCACAGCTACAAATATGCAAGTACCACAGCCATTCCTGCCTGCAACCCTGGTCACTGCAGCAATATTTACGTGGTCAACTTTCCAACATGATTTAATGGAAGAAAGGATAGTACTGTCCTTTGTAGGGGGTGGGGGGGACACACCCCTGGTGATCAGAGGCTGTTCCTGACTGCTCATGAGTGACCCATATGTGGTGCTAGTTATTCTACTGGGGTAGGCCGCATGCAAGGCAAGTGTCTGAACCCCTCTTCTCTCTCTTTCTCTTTTAAATTATCACTAGCATTTCGAAGATCAGACTTAGGTGGATAAAGATCTAGGTCTGTGAACACAAGCATAGTCTTATTATTATAGAGAATGTTCAGTCTGTCCTGATTATTACAAAACCAGAACAGAGAGAATATTCACAGCTGAATCCCTGTTCTATCTCCCCAGCTTCAGAAATGATTCAACAAATGTTTCTGAACAGTTGAATAACCAAGACCTTCCCTCATATCAATAAAAATTTTAATTTGAAATGAAACATAGCTAAGGCTAAATTTTTCAAAAAGAAAATAGTTGGCTTAGAAAAATATTACTTATATAGGACACAGACCAAAAACCCCACAGCCCATGAAAGGAAAAAGGTGATAAAATAGGAATTTTCAAAAGTAATGTGCAGGCCAGGGCTGGAGCAACAGCACAGCGGGTAGGGCCTTGCACGTGGCCTAGTCGGATTCGATTCCCAGTATTCCATATGGTCCCCCGAGCACTGCCAGGAGCAATTCCTGAGTGCAGAGCCAGGAGTAACCCCTGTGCATTGCCGGATGTGACCCAAAAAGAAAAAAAAGTAATGTGTAGGCCAAGGACATGGCTATAGTGGTAAAAATCATAAATGAAAGGCCAGGGAGTACAGACACTAAATTTCTTTTTTTTTTTTTTTCTTTTTGGGTCACACCCAGCAATGCTCAGGGGTCACTCCTGGCTCTGCACTCAAAAATTACTCCTGGCGTGCTTGGGGGACCATATGGGATGCCAGGGCTCAAACCCAGGTCAGCCGCATGCAAGGCAAACACCCTACCTGCTGTGCTATCGCTCCGGCCCGAGACATTAAGGTTCTTGACTTGCTTGTTGAAGACCCCATTTGGATCCCTGACACTAAAAATGACCTCTTGCACCACCGTGAGTGATCTGTGAGACCTGAGCACTTCCATGTGTGATTCCAAAGCCAAAATTAATAACAATAATAAATGGATCTGGGGGTGTAGCTCAATGGTTAACGACTGTTCTTCTGACTGGCTCTGAGTTAGGTCTTGGAATGACCCCACGTACCAAGGTGCCTGAAGTCGCCTTAAAGTGTGTGAGATTTCTGAGCTCTGCAATCGTGTGTGTGTGTGTGTGTGTGTGTGTGTGTGTGTGTGTGTGTGTGTGTGTGACTCCCAGCAAGCACCGTAACTGGAGTGTGTGAGCTCAGCAGCCAGGTCTGGGAATGAACCACGGCCTCCTGCTGGGCAACTACAAGTGGGTATCTGCAGCCCCTGCTCAGTGACCTGCAGGGTGGGCGGGCGGGGATGAATGTCTGCTCTTTGAAGAACGCCATAAACAAAATAAAGGAACCATGACACATGGAGAGAAAATAATTGTAAACCGTATATTTGATTTTAAAGAATTAAAATACAGAGTTATCTTGAGCCAGAGGCAAACAGTCAATAGATTGTGGTCTTTTTTTGGGTTTGTTTTTTTGCTTTCTCTCTCTCTCTCTCTCTCTCTCTCTCTCTCTCTCTCTTTTTAATTGAGTCACTGTGAGATAGAGCATTACAAAACTGTTCATGACTGGGTTTCAGTCATACAATGTCCCAACACCCATCCCTCCACTAGTGTAATTTCCCACCACCAATGTTCCCAGTTTCCCTCCCCCCTCAGCTCCCTCCCCCACAGCCCTACAGCCTGCCTCTATGGCAGACACCTCCTCTTCTCTCCTCTCTCTCTCTCTCTCTCTCTCTCTCTCTTTCTTTCTCTTTCTCTCTCTCTCTCTCTCTCTCTCTCTCTCTCTCTCTCTCTCTCTCTCTTTCCCCCACCCCACTTTCAATGGGCTGGGGTTTTTTTTTGCGTTTTTTGGGTCACACCGGCAATGTTCAGGAGTTACTCCTGGCTCTGCACTCAGGAATTACTCCTGGCAATGCTCAGGGGACCATATGGGATGCTGGAAATCGAACCCGGGTTGGCTGCGTGCAAGGCAAATGCCCTATCTGCTGTGCTATTACTCCAGCCCCCTCAATGGGCTGTTTGTAGATGGCTTAAATCCTATCCCTGGCACTGCACAGCCAAGACCATTGGGCAACAGAGCTGGGGTAGCACCTAAACAACACCAAGTGAAGCCCCTGAACCAAACCTCCCCAAAATGTATATCTAGACCATGTATGTATATATTAGACATATACATATACGTATACGCATTTCTTTTTTTGGGTGGGTATGGCTTGTTGCAGGGGGGACTAGGAATCAACGCAGGGCATGTGCTCTACCACTTTCGTCACATCCCCTGCCCTTAGAGTATATATATTTGAGGGTCAGGCACCATGCTCAGTGGTGCTCAGGAATTATTCCCAACTTAGTTCTCAGGTGTCGCTCCCAGCAGTGCTCAGAGGACTATGAAGCACCAAGAATCAAAACTGGACCTTCTTCATTTAAAGTAGGAGCTCCTGGGGCTGGAGAGATAGCACAGCCGGTAGGGCGTTTGCCTTGCATGCAACCAACCCAGGTTTGGTTCCCAGCATCCCATATGGTCCCCTGAGCACCGCCCGGAGTAACTCCTAAGTACAGAGCCTGGAGTAACCTCTGGGCATCGCCAAGTGTGACCCAAAAAGCAAAAAAAAAAAAAAAAAAAAAAAAACGAAATAAAGCATGAGCTCCAGCCTGTTGAAATATGTCTCTAGCCCCACAGAATGTGTTTGAGGCTGGAGCAAGAGTACAGTGGGTAAGGCAATAGCATTGCACAGGGCTGACCTGGGTTCAGTGTCTGGCACCCATATGGTCCTCTGAGCCCACCTGAGCACAGAGCCAGATGTGCCCCTCCATGCCCCCCAAAATAATATTTGCTTAAGAACCGTTACCATTGAATAAAGGATGGAGGAATAAGCTCAATGGGCTGGTGTGTGTGTGCTTGCATGCAGGAACCCAGGTTTTAATCCCTGATGCCACATGGTCCCCCAGCATCTTGCAAGCAGTAGCCCACAGCACCACTGGGTATATCCCTCACCAAAAAATATAAGGTAAGAGTGATTTAAAAAAAATATATATATATAGCAAATATGGAGAGATAGGACAGGGGTTAAGGTACCTGTCTTGCATGCTCTGAACTCGCTTTGATTTCTGACACCATATAGGGTCCACTGAGCACCATCAGGAATGATCCCTGAGCATTGAGTCAGAAGCACTAGATGTGGTCCAAACCCTCACCCTCCAACCCCCTCAAAATATATGCTCAATATCACTAGCTATTAGGGAAAAGGGGATGATTAAAATCACAATGAGATACCATTTCACTAGAATGGTCCAAATTTGTAGTTTTCAAATAACCACATTGAAAAAAAAATTTGGCAGATAATACAAGAGCAAACATACATTTATTATACAGCCCAGCAATTCTACTTCAAAGTATTTGCCCATGAGAAATTTATAGCAATACCCACACAAAGACTCCTATACAAATGTTGATAGCAGTTTTAATCATCATATTGTGAAAAACTGGAAAGAACCTCAATTTTCATCAACTGGCAACTAGTTAAGCTAATTGTGGCATATTAGCAAAATGAACATATTGCTAGTAGACTAGTAGAATAGAATATATGGGAGCTGGCATGACAATACAGAGAGTAGGCCGTTTACCTTTTATTTGGCTTCCCCAGATCCCATCCAGGGCATCCCATATAGTCCATGGATCCCACCAGGAACAGGACCAGGGATGCGAGTTAAGAAGAGTGGTGCATACGTTACACTTTTGAGGCTCTGGGTTCGATCTAGGCCCTGCATGGACCCTGAGCATCACTGGCAGTAGCTCCCACAACAAACGAACAAACAAAAATAAATTAAAAAAAAACGATAAGAGACTGAAAAGGGACTGGAGAAATAGTACAGCAGGTAGGGTTATTGCCTTGAAAGTGGTCGACCCCAGTTTGATGTCCAGCATCCTATATAGTCCCTTGAGCACTGCCAGGAGTACTTCTTAAGCCACAGCCAGGTGTAACCCCTGAGCTCAGCCAGGTCTGCCCCCTTCCCCCCAAAGAAGAGATGGAACATAGCAAGAATGTATAATATATTTGAATCAGAAGCAGAGACCAGAATAATATATAATATTTGGAGATAATTACACAGAATTTTCCAGAGTTAATGGATGAAAAAAAGAGAAGACAGGGCTGGAGTGATAGCACAGCAGGTAGGGCGTTTGCCTTACACGCTACTGACCCAGGCTCGATTCCCAGCATCCCATATGGTTCCCCGAGCACCGCCAGGAGTAACTCCTGAGTGCAGAGCCAGGAGTAACCCCTGAGCATTGCCGGTTGTGACCCAAAATGAAAGAGAGAGAGAGAGAGAGAGAGAGAGAGAGAGAGAGAGAGAGAGAGAGAGAGAGAGAAGACATTTTAATGTGGATTGCAAGATCTTGAATAATAGCTGATTTTAGCATTTTTTGTTGGTATTTTTTCCCCCAGTCCTTACATCCACAACTTTCCACTTTTTGGCTAGGGTAAAATTACACTGTACATCTTGATTATGGAGTAGTAGGATATTGTGCAGGCAATCATTTCAAATCAAGATAGAATTTTGTGCATTCTTTCTCTTCTGCCTACAATCTTTTCCTTTATTTTCCTTTTGAATTCTGTTTTGTTTTGTTTCGTTTTTGGACCACCTAGTGGTGCCCAGAGGTTTCTCCTGGCTCTGCACTCAGGGATCACTCGTGGAGGTGTTTGAGTGACCATATGGGATGCTGGGGATCAAACTGGGGTCCACTGTATGCAAGGCAAGAGCGCTTCCCGCTGTACTATCACTCTGGCCCCCGTTTTTGTTTTTTTTTTTTTTTGCTTTTTGGGTCACACCCAACGATGCTCAGGAGTTACTCCTGGCTCATGCACTCAGGAATTGCTCCTGGTGGTGCTCGGGGGACCATATGGAATGCTGGGAATCGAACCTGTGTCGGCCATGTTGGCTGCATGCAAGGCAAACGCCCTACCCGCTGTGCTATTGCTCTGGCCCCTGGCCCCTTTTTTTTTTTTTTGCTTTTTGTGTCATACCTATCTGTACTTAGAGCTTACTCCTGGTTCTTTGCTCAGAGATTACTCTTGGTGGGGACCATAAAGTATGTTGGCAATCCAACCCAGATTGACTGCACGTAAGACAAGCAACAACTCTTGGGGCTGGCAGAATAGTACATCAG